GGTCATTATATGCTTTCTATGCTTTTACATTTGTTAAAATATGTTTTATGGCCCAGAATGTGGTCTGTCTTGGTGAATGTTCCATGTGAACTTAATAAGAATGTGTGTCCTATAGTTTTTGGATGAAGTAACCCATAAATATCAATTATATCTAGTTGATTGATGGCGTTGTTGAGTTCAACTAGGGTCTTACTGATTTTTTGCCTGCTAGATGTATCCATTTCTGATAGAAGGATGTTGAAGTCTCCCAACTATAATAGTGGATTCATCAATTTCTCTTTATTCCTGATAATTTTTCTTCCTTTGAAGTCTGCTCTATCTGAAAATTATTATAGCTACCACTGCTTTCTTTTAATTAGTGCAGCATGGTATATATTTTTCTCTACACATTTACTTTTAATCTATTTGTGTCTTTATATTTAAAGTGGGTTTCATGTTAACAAGATATAGTTAGTTGTTTTTTCATCCACTCTGACATAAGACATATACATAAGCACACATAATCAAATATACTGTTGTTATTAATTTGAACAATCTGTTATCTGTTAGATCAATTAAGAAAAATAAAATGTGTTTATTTTGCCTTCATTTTTCTTGTCTTTGATGCTTTTCTTCTCTTTATATAGATACAAGTTTCTGACCTATATTATTTTCCTTCTCTCTAAATACTTTTAACATTTCTTGCAAGGTAGATTTAAAGGCTAAAAATTCTCTCAAATGTTATTTGTCTGAGAAAGTATTTCTCCTTCACTTTTGAAGGATAGTTTTGCAGAATGCAGAATTCTAGGTTGATAGGTTTTTATTTCCTCAACACTTAAAATTTTCACTTCTCCCTCTTCTTGCCTGCATGGTTTCTGAGAAGTCAGATGTCATTCTTATCTTTGTTGCTCTATAGATCAGGTATTTTTGTCCTCTGGCTTTCTGTCAGATTTTCCCTTTATCTCTGATTTTCTTTAGTTTGAAGATGTATGCTTTAATGTAGCTTTGGGGGGGGGGGGGGCATTTATCCTGCTTGGTGTTCTCTGACTCTGTAGTTTGGTGTCTGATATTAATTTGGGGAAATTCTCAGTTATTATTGTTTCAAGTATTTCTTCTGTTGCTTTCACTCTTTCTTCTCCCTGTATTCCTTACACATATATTTCACCTTTGTAGTTGTTCACAGTCCTTGGATATTCTGTTTCTTTTTTTGAGTCTTTGTTATCTTTGTTCTCTTTGCTTTTCAGTTTTACAGGTTTCTATCAATATACCTTCTAGCTCAGAGATTCTTTCCTCGGCCTTGTCCAGTCTATTAATGAGCCCATCAAAGGTGTTCATTTCTGTTAATGTTTTTGAATTCTAGGTTTTTCTTTCAGTTTTTTTTTTAAGATTTACATTTCTCTGTTTACACTGCCTATCTGATCTTGAATGCTATCTACTTTATCCATTAGAGCCCCTAGCATGCTAAGCATAATTGTTGTAAACCATTGTCTGATAATTCCAACATCCCTGCCATGTTTGGTTCTTATGCTTATGTTCTCTACAAATTGTGTCTCTTGCCTTTTGGTATGCCTTTTATTATTTTTGTTTTTGGTATGTGCCTCTAGTGGTAACCAAACCCGGGACTCTCTGGTCCACAGGCCGACGCTCCAACCACTGAACCAAACCGGCCAGGGCTTGGTATGCTTTTTAATCACTTGACAGATAGATATGATATACTGAGCAAGAACTACTGTAAATAGTAATATGGTGGAAAGGGGAGGGGAGGGGAAGCATTCTAATGTCCTATGTTAGGTTTCAGTCTTTTAATGAGTCTCTGGACTGTGAATTTCATAAGTGTTTCTCAGTCCTTCCCCTCCTTAGGTGGGGCAGGATGACTAGAGGGAGATGGAGTTAGGTATTTCCCTTCACCCAGGTCAGTTAGGCTCTGATAATAACCCAGCAGGCTAGGCTGTGGTTAAGTAGTTTCTATTGAAAGCTCACCTTGTAAGGAAGAACACACTGCTCTAGTTTATTTTCTCCTCCCTCTGCCAAAAGCATGGGAGGATTTTCCTCCAATATTTATAAGAATCTTGTTGAGCTCCTGGAGGGAAATCTCACAAAACTGTAAAAACTCCCCATGACTAGGCCCTCTTAAAATGTTTAATTCTCGCCCTGGCCGGTTTGGCTCAGCGGTTAGAGCGTCGGCCTGCGGTCCTGAGAGACCCGGGTTCGGTTCCTGCTAAGGGCGCGTGCCTCGGTTGCAGTTTGTCCCCGGCCCTGGTTGGTCGTGCGGGTGGCAGCCACTCAATGTGTCTCTTTCACGTCGATGTTTCTCTCTCTCTCTCTGTTCCCCTCTCTCCCTCCCGCTCTACCTGAATAAAAAAAATGGAAAAATGTCCTCGGGTGAGGATTGAAAAAAAAAAAAAAATTTTAATTCTCAGAGATTTCCACAATGAGCCACCAGCAATTCATCAACTATAGTTCATGTTCTCCTACCTGAGACTGGCTCCCAAGACAGTTTCTACTCATTAATCTCTTTTCTGGGAAGGCTTACTCCCCCTGTTCATTCATCTGTCTGTTTCTCTCATCTTGGGGCAGCAGTTTGTCGTCTCCTCCCTTCTCTACGGATCCAAGAAAAACAGTTGATTTTTTCAGTCTCTAGCTTTTTACTTATTGTTAGGACAGAATGGCAACTTCCAAACTCTTTAAGTGTGGAACTGGAAACCACCATTGAACGTTTTAAAAATATTAGCTTTTTATCCTTTTGCCAAGATGCTTACATAGAATCCAAAGTAACAACTCCAACAGCTGGCCATAAACAGGGGGTTGGCTGGAGAAGGCCAGCTGGTCCCCAGACAAGTACATCTCTGCTAACATAAGGTAAATATCTTCTCTACTCGGAAACTCAACCCTGCCAGAATCCCAGCGTTGACATCACTCAGGAATACTGATTCATTCTTTTTTTAATTTTTTTTTTTTCTTTATTGATGTTTAGAGAAAAAGAGGAAGGGAGAGAGAGAAACATCGATGAGAGAGAACATCGATTGGCTGCCTCCTGCATGCCCCCCACCTGGGATTGGGCCCTCAACCTGGGCATGTGTCCTGATTGGGAATCAAATCGGTGACCTCTTGGTGCCTGGGTTGATGCTCAACCACTGAGCCACACCAGCGGGGAATTCTTTTTCTTTTCTTCTTTTTTTTTTAATCCTCACCCGAGTACATGCTTAGAGAGGGAGGGAGGGACGGAGGGGTGTAGGGAGGGGGTGGGGATAGGGAGAGAGAGAGGGAGAGAAGGAGAGAGAGAGAGAAGGAGAGAGAGAGAGAGACATTGATTGGTTGCCTTCCAAAGTGCCCTAACAGGGGATCAAATCGGCAACCCAGGTATGTGCCCTGACTGGGAATCAAACTGGCAACTTGTTGGTGTACAGGATGATGCTCAACCAACTGAGCCACTCCAGCCAGGCCTGATTCATTCTTTTAACATTTGTAAGAAAAGACTACCTAGTCTTAGAGTGTCAACTCTCAGGTTTAACTCTGAGAAGGAATCTTTATCCCTTATGTCACAGTTATTTATAAAGGAATGAGACACCCAGTGTTCATCACTGTAGACCTCAGAACTGCCCACCGTTAATTGAGCAACTTGTAGACCCGATGTCATTATGACCTCCAAAGCAGGTGATTCAGTGAGCCTGCTTTTAAAGAATTACCAAAGGTATCTACAGGGGTCCACCTGTTCCATAGCTCCCCCTTTGCTCATACAAAGCATTTCATGGAAGACAAGTCTGCAGCTGTACCCAGGTAAACTGACAACACATAGTTGCTCTGTCTAGGGGAGAGCAGAGAATCTATTTCCATCTAAGTAAGAGCCTAAGGTGTCTATACACAGTCTTAAAAGATCAGAGGAGAATTTGGAACATAATTGACACTTACCTTGCAGAGTACAGACATTTTATAACATATTTTATTCAAAAGATGCTATATCACTAGGGGTAACCATATCCTTATTTAAAAGCCAATCCCTAGCTACATTTCTATTCAGAAAATTGAGACCTTAAAAAAGGTTTCTTGCCCTGGCCAGTTGGGCTCAGGGGTTGGAGTGTTGGCCTGCGGTCCAGAGGGACCCAGGTTCGGTTCCCACTAAGGGCATGTACCACGGTTGCAGTTTGTCCCCGGCCCTGGTTGGGTCATGCGGGTGGCGGCCACTCGATGTGTCCCTTTCATGTCAATGTTTCTCTCTCTCTCTCTTCCTCTCTCTCCCTCCTTCTCTATCTGAACAAAAAAATGGAAAAATGTCCTCGGGTGAGGATTAAAAAAAAGGTTTCTTTTCCTGATCATTTCACGAATATCTTAATTTTTTTTCTGTTATAGAAATTTAAAGTTATATTGACACAAGAAAGAGCATAGAAAAATCAGATTTTTAATGAGACATTTTATCTAACCTGCTGCTTCACCTTAAAATAAAAAACAGGGGAACTGCACATGACTCCCAGATTCAACCCTTGCCGGCAACATCCCTCTCACCCTGGTTCACTGCCTTCTGGGACAGAAATCATGTTTTATTTTTGTACAACACATTGTTTGTGTAGATTAGAATTCTAGTATTCAAAAAATATTTCATGACGGATTAGCTTTCTTGATAAAATGTTGAAGAACTGTTGCCAAATAAGTGTGTTTCAGGAAAGCAAAAAAGAACATTTATAGCACTTTTAACTTTATTTTTATTATAACTCATAATAAAAAATATTTTACATCATAACCATCATATACATATGAACATATATGTATACATCTATCTAAAACAAAAGTTATAAGTAAAAAACAACTTATCCTCCATATGTCTGATGCTTTTGGTTATTTTCTATTCTATTTCATTATTTTAAATGCTGCTCGTGACCCACTAGCAGATTGCATGACATCTGATGGTTTGTGATGCTCAGTTTGAAAAATAATGATCTAGAAAACTGTCTTCTGGAAACAAATATGGAAGCAAACCATAAATAAAATAAACTAGAAAAAGAAGTTTTCAAATAACAGTTACTTACTTGGTTGGTGACCACACAACACTGAGTGGTATCCGTTCACCGAATGGAAGGAAAGGCCTGGCGGGGAGGAAAACACACGCGTGGGAACCTTGCCTGGTGTGCACTCTGAGCTTTCTCCAATTTTAACATCAGTGAGCTTGAATATCCCCAAACTTCTGACATGTACAAAATCACTAGGCAGTGGGGAGAGTCTTGTTTAAAATGCAAACTCCCAAGGCTAGCCCAGGAGATTCAGAAAGTATATGGCCGAGCCAATGAATCTGCACTTTTAGCAACCTTCCCAGGGTCTTTTCTGCGGGTGGGAAACAGGTCCATTTTGAGAAGCGGGGCCCTATAGTTGGGCTTCAGCTGGTCTTTAGCTCCCAGACACTTAAGTTCCTTGAGACGTTCCAAAATTCCCAATGATTTAGTTTTAAAAACTTACCCCCAAAAGTCTAGGAAATGAGTATACTATGGTAAGAATTTCATGTTTCTCTGAAAAAGTCAGTGTCATAAAATTTCCATAAGGAGTTTGCTCGTAAATAATAATGTGGATTACAAACTTACTTTCTCAAGGAAGCTAGGTAGATGAACCAAGACTGTTTTTCTAATTCAGGTGAGACCTACAGGAAAATCCTCATCTGATTTTAATTTGATCTAAGTATATGATTACCTTGCGAGTATTAATCACCAACGAAACAAAGTGAATCTTTGGCCATGTTAGTGTTGGCAACGTTCACACAGACAGCCAGTGTCATCTCTTTGCTCCCATTTAACAATTTTCCCTGCACTGTGACTGTCATGTCTCTCTACTATATCTCATTTCATACGATGACTTCATTTTGTTCTCATATACACATTCTTATTTGCAATTAAGTACTTCTGAAGTCAAGGCAGACTTAGTTGGAATCCCAGCTCTGCCACTTGCTGACTTAAGTGATCTTGAGCAATTTATTGTCCTCTCTCAGTTTCAGCTTCCTTACTGGTAAATGGGGATAATATATCCTATGACACATTTCTGTTGTGAAAATTTAAATATATATGTAAAGTGCTTAAAGCAATGCCTGGTACACTGCATGCACCTAAAAATGATAGCAGCTATCAGAATCTTGAAGATGTTCTCTAATATCAGGGCTCATATTCATTAGTAATTACTTTTTACCTTTCAAAATACTTATAGCGATTCTTTCCAGTAACATCAGGATCTTCACAAACTTCTTTAGGCATCTGAAAATAAGTGTCAGTTCTAAAATGAAGCAGGAAAACATTATTCAAGTCTAACACACTTCCAAATATAATTTCTATTTGCTATTTCTATGTCTATAAAGTAGAGGATACAAGGGCATTCCAGACTGAGAGCCAAGTCTTCTATAACACACATCTGACTGACCGACATTGCAAAGCAGATATAATTACTTTCCCTGAGCCAGGAAACCTGGAGCAAACAAGAGGAAGTGAGAGTTCAGAGTCAATTCTCATAGACACAGAGAACAGACTGGTGGTTGCCAGAGGGGAGAAGGGTTGGGGAACTGAGTGAAAAAGTGAAGGGATTAAGTTGTACAATTGGTAGTTACAAAATAGTCATAGGAATGCAAAGTACAGCGTAGGAAATACAGTCAATAAAATTGTAAAATCGATATATGGAGTCAGGTGGGTACAGGAGATACCAGGGGGAATACTTTGTAAAATATGTGATTATCTAATCACTATGCTGTACACCTGAAATAAATACAAAATAATATTGAATGTAAACTGTAATTGAAAAAAAAATGGTTAAGTTCATTTAAAAAAAATAAATGACTTGATTTATGAAAAAAAAAAAAACAAGAAAAGAGTCAATTTATGAAATCCTACATTCTTAAAAATGCCAATTTTTAATTAATAGCACATGAGAATAACAAAAGTTTTAAAAAACAACTTTTGATGTTCAGGCAGAAAGGTAGCATTTAAAATAAAAATTTACTAGGTATGAACTAGTAAATAATTAAAAGAATAAGGAATTCAAGAGACTTATCTCAGAAGGTGCTTAGGCTACAAGTCTCCAAAACATACATTTAGATACTACCAGAAAAGTATACTTCCAATGTCTAAGGTGGATCAAGAGAACAACAAATTCAGTCACCTCTACCTGTGGTGGCAAGCTGTCATAATATATATATATATATTCACGCCAACCTTCTGAGAACATCTACTAACCAATAACCTGTAACCACTGCTCCTGAATCAGGCTCGTTTTGGTCAAAGGGGTTAAGAGAGAGAATCTGGGGTCAACTGGCCTAGGTATAGAATCACAACTCTACATTTAAAAATAATGCAAAATAAATATTTTATAAAGAAAAATGCATTCATTAAAAACCTGATTAGCAGTAGAATTTACTAAACACTTACACAGCAAGTGGCTGGAAGATTTCTCTGCATTTCTCCTCATGTCCCTTCCATTCCCGACTGATAAATGGTGGGACGGGATCTGCCTTGCTCCAATATAGAGAGTATCTTGGATAATGGATCAGGTTACTGAACATGGTCCTAAACCTAGGAACTTTTCTCTAATGTTAGCACAGGGAGGCAGGGAGAAAAAGGACAAAATTATACCATCAGATTTTCTAAAACATTTTATTTATATTGCAAACTTTTTAAAAAGGTACAAAAGCATGTATATGGCATAGAAAGAAGGGTTATTGGTATGTGGGTAGAATATCTCTGGAAGAATACCCAAGAAACTAATGACAATGAATGATTATGTGAAGGGGCAGAGGGTTAGAATTTACTTGATACTGTATATGCTTTTGTACTTCTTGACTTCTTTTAACACAGGCATATATTACCTTCCCCGTTGAAATAAATTAGCTTTTAATAAGTCATTTATTCATTACTAGTTAATTCATCCCTACATTGGGCTGCAAGTAACATGATGCCTTTGTCCCCTAGTAATCATGGCAAAGTAATTTCTATAGAATATAAAAACCAGTGGAGATTTGTTGATAAGTCAATCCTACCAGTGTGGTTAGCCACAACAGATGGCTCAGGCTCATCAGGCTGCCTTAGTGAATGAATTAGACCTACCAGTCTGCTTCGACTCAGGATTGCTTGGGTATTTGCCTGTATGTGGTCTTTCTCACTTGACACAACAAACAATGGGTCTGTGAAATAAACAATAAGGTAGGATAAGGAACAGAATATATCTACTCCTAGGCTGAGAACAATGGCAAAGCAATGTAATTTCTTAATTGGAAAACAAGTTAGGAAACAGATCTTGCCTAATTCTACAACAGCTCATAGCCCTGTTACCCTACCACCATTGAGAGTCTGTTAGATGCATTTCTTTTCTGTGCATTCCAAAACCAGTTTATAAAACTGAAATGCAACAAAAGGCCTAACATATTCTCAAGCACCATAACCTAAACATGCTTCCTTCTATTCTATGAACAAACCAGTTTCTGGTTCTGGGAAGCCCAGGAAATAGTCCAAGAGGAAAGAACATGTATACACACACTATGCCCATTTGCAAGTGAAAGAAACAATAAATTTGGGCACTACTTCCCATTTCAGTACACAGAGAAGATGCAAATTCTTAGTATGTTATCTCTGAATGGGTCAACATGGTAAGAAAATGTCATTCTCTAATAAGAGATAAATAGAATTAGCCATTTTCAGAATTCACCCCTTAAGTTTACAAGTATGTTAATGATGGGATTAAGTTATTTCTCCAAAGTTCAACAAAAAATTAATATATTGAGAACAGTATGGCCCTGACCAGTTTTGCTCAACGGTTAGAGCATTGGCCCACGGATCAGAGAGTCCCGGTTCAGTTCCCACTAAGGGCATGTACCTCGGTTGCAGTTTGTCCCTGGCCCCGATTGGGGTCGTGTAGGTGGCAACCACTCGATGTGTCTCTCTCACATTGATGTTTCTCTCTCTCTCTTCCTCCCTCTCTCCCTCTCACTCTATCTGAGGATACATGCAAAAATGTCCTCAGGTGAGGATAAAAAAATAAATAAAATCAATAAAGAACAGTATGGAGTAAAGAGAAATTTCCATTCAAATTCTTGTTTTAAATCATTTAAAAGATACAACCGGGTCTATGGTTGCAATTGTGTTGTTCATCTGAAATTAGTTCAGCCTGCATATCCTCTGAGTCTGAATAATAAATAATAAACCATTTTCCTCTTATTCCCATAAGGAGTGTGAAGACGTATCTATAAAATAGTGTTGCCATCTATAGAAGATAATGACACAATACTGTATGATTTGTGACTACACATTCTGCACCTCATCCAACAACTGTGATCATAATCAGTGCTCAAAAAGCAGTAAAGGGAGCATTTGAGATCTCCATTCCAAGTGTATGTTGTCAGTTTGACTCAAACAAACTCACAAATATTCTAAAAAACAAGTAATAGAAAGGCCTCTGAGACGCCCAAGTAATAGAAATCACCAGGTTATCACTTGCTTACTCCTAGACAGGTATTAATTAGGTGCTTTATATGCAATATTCTACTTAATCTTTACAAAAACCAAATGAGTTAGGTGCTAGGCTTCCATTTTATGGGTGATAAAACTGAGGCTTCATGAAGTTAGCAACTAACTGATTGGCAGTAAAGATTTGAATCCCAATCCTTCTGGATCCCAGGCCTAATATTATTGAAAGCCCATGAATTTTATGAGGGAACTTTTCCCATGAAAATCATAAGAGATCTCCTCGATCGCTTTACCCATATTGTAGAAACAGTTCTAACAAGCCCAAGAAGTTGTCACAACCAAGTAATGGTGAGAGGAAGTGTTTCAAACCCCGAGCCATAATGACTACTTTTAGGGGAAAGTATAATAAATTGCAGATTCTGGCGAGAAAAAAAGGAGAAAAGATCTCATGATGAACCTAGAAAGTATTTTTAAATATTTTTGGACATTAGGAAAAATATATCATAATGTTTAAAACACTTTAACTATCAGGGCAGTAGTGTAGCTACTAATCCATCAACAAATGTACAGATTCAAGTAAGTGACAAAGCATAGTGGGCACCTCAAACAAAATGCATGATACACAGCATTTACAAAAATGCAGTGAAATGCATAATGGTATATAAATGACTGGCCATTAGGATTTGTAAAAGAATGTTCATTGTAAAACACCATACAAATGTAAGGTATATGAATTTATCTTAATCACTACAGTGATCAGACGAGTAAAATTACATTTAGTGACAATGGCCAAGCAAAGTTCCCTAGAGGAGCAAAAGCCTTGAACAGACAATGAACTACACTGACAGACCATTGGGTCTGAGGGGTGGGGGGAGATGAAGGGTGAAAGAGTTTGGGAAGATGTTCATATTTGTACCATTTACCCCCACACCCACCTCAGCCAACAACTTATCTTATTTCTCTCTTCAATTTTCAGCTAAGATATATAAGGACTCTATACAACTGGTGGTGAGCTTTAGGATAAGAAGTGATGTATAGTCCCTGTCATAGTGAAAGAAATCTCTACATAAGTGGCTTTCTGTCAGATGGAAGAAGGAAAAAGAAAACATGTGCACAGAAAGAAGCAGGGTTAAGTTGCCAGATAAAATATAGGATACTCAGTTAAATTTGAATTTCAGATAAGCAAAGAATAACTTTTCATATAAATATGACCCAAATATTCCTTGGGACTAAAAATGTACACCAAAATAGTATTCATTATTTATCTCAAATTCAAATTTATTTATTTATTTTTATCCTCACTAGAGGACATTTTTCCATTTTTTGTTCAGATAGAGTGGGAGGGAGAGAGAGGAAGAGAGAGAGAGAAACATCGACGTGAAAGGGACACATCAAGTGGCCACTACCTGCATGACCCAACCAGGGCCAGGGACAAACCGTAACCGAGGTACGTGCCCTAAGCAGGAACCGAACCTGGGTCTCTCTGGACCGCAGGCCCACGCTCCAACCGCTGAGCCAAACTGGCCAAGGCTCAAATTCAAATTTAAGTATGCCCTGTATTTTTTTTTTATCCTCACCCAAGAATATGTTTTTTTTATTTTTGAGAGAGAGACACAGAGAGAAGGAGCAAAACATCCACATGAGAGAAACATCGGTTGTATCCCTTATATGCCCAGTCAAGAATTAAACCTGCAACCTAGGCATGTGTCCTGACCAGAATCAAACCCACAACCTTCTGGTGTACGGGATGATGCTCCAACTGAGACACCCAGCCAGGGTAATGTGTCCTCTGTTTTTATTTGCTAAATCTGCTAACCCCAACAGGGTGAAAGACCATAAGGCCCAAGAAATTGAGCAGAGGGCTAGAGCACCTTAGTTCTGACTGTCCCTGTCCTGGCTACATTATGCTTCCTGTCTGTGAATAGCTGGGAGACTGCCTGTTTTATTAGAACAGTCCAAACTTTCATTGACCTATTCTGATGGACATGGAAACTTTTAGCAATCTCTCTGGGAAAAAAAAAAAAAAAGTTACTTTTAGGGATAAAAGAAACAAGGAGCTTAATAAATTAATTGCCTGTCTTGACTGAAGAAAGACATCTATCCCTATTCCCAAATTACCTTTGAAAGAAACATGGTGATGTGTTAAGAGGAGTTTACCAGATTTATTTTATAAGATGAAACCAAGAGTGAATAAAAAGAAAACCACGGGCCAGAATATGTAATCAATCATTACACAGCCCCTATATCAGGAAATGGGTGCTCTATAGGATTCCCATCCAAAGGAGACCCTAGGAATCCCAGAGGACATGTGACATGGTTTAAAAGGATGCAAGGTTCAGGTGAAGAGCCTGGGACTACTGAGGCAAAATTGAAAAAAATCATGGTTAACAATGATAAGTTTTGTAATATTAAATTCAATAATTTAATAAACATTTAAGAGGCACCTGACATATGTACCAGCACTGGAATACATATTGAAACAGCTACAATAATGTACAGAACAAGAACTGAAAGTGCCCTGGCCGGTATGCTCAGCGGTTGGAGCGTTGACCTGCGGTCCAGAGAGACCCGGTTCAGTTCCCGCTAAGGGCGCGTACCTCAGTTGCAGTTTGTCCCCGGCCCTGGTTGGCAACCACTCGATGTGTCCCTTTCACGTGGATGTTTCTCTCTCTCTCTTCCTTTCTCTCCCTCCCACTCTATCTGAACAAAAAATAGAAAAATGTCCTGGTGTCCTGGGGTGAGGATAAAAATAAAAAATAAAAAGAACTGAAAGAGCCTTAAGGTCCAGTATAAGAGACAGAACATAAATGGACAATCAGGGCATTATAATGAACTGGGGTTTTATTGGCCCAAAAGGACTCAGTGGACCTAGTTTATAAGCAATGCATTAATGAACAAGAATACGTTTAAAGGAAAAGAGAAAACAAAAAACTAAGGTAAGATAAACTGGCACTTTACCAGTAATGCCACATTTGGATGTGTCCAGAGAATGGGAACAGGTTTTATGCAGTTTGAACGCGGGAATGCTGAGCGACTCTCCAAGTCTGCAAATCATTGCATACATTTTTGGATACTAAAACTCCCAGGAAGATTGCTAAGGGCTGTGCAAATTATCAGGAAAAGGGGGTGGCGAAGGGTAAGGCGGCCCAGAGCGGTGCAGGCGTAGAGCGCTTCGGCGGCTTCGGAGGAGCCCCTGAGAGCGCCGCCACCTGGAGGGCTCGGAGCTGCCCCGACCCAACAAAGGACAACCCGGGGCAAGGGATTCGTCCCGAGGCTCGTCTTTTGTTCGCCGCTGCCTGGTTCAGGTCCCAACTCAGGAGGGAGGTCTGGGGCCGCCCTTACCGTACAGGAAATCATACGTTCGACCGGAGGAGACGATGCCCCGCGGTTTCACCTCGCACTGGGTTTGAGACCCCTGCGACTTGGCGGTCCGGACTTGGTTCATGGTGCCGCCTCTTTCCTCCGACCAGCAGGGGACCAAATTGCTGGCCCAGCGGCTGCGTGCCCCGTTGCTACGGTAACCTCGGCTCGAACTCCAGGATGAGAGGCGGGGCGAGAAGCAGTAGGCGGAGGCTCGAACAAGGGCGTGGCCCCAGAAGGGAGGGGCGGGGCTCAGAAGGAAGGGACGGCCCCGGCGAGGGAAAAACTTGAATGAGAATGAGGAATCCGCGGTGGCGGGGAGGGGAGCCGAGAGGGCGGAGGGGAAGAAAGGGAGAAGAAATGGCAGGAATGGGGGGAAGCGGGGGCAGGCGGGGAGGCGGTGAACCTGACTTGCCACTACCTTCCCGAAATAGACCCCCAAGCTTTCAGCCGCCCACCCGGTTCAACGCTGCAAGGCCAGCGGCTGGGGAAAAGGCTGCTGCTCAAATGCAGCAGCGACTTGCCAGTTACACTCTGTAACCTCTTCCGGAAATCCCTGGGCAATCTCAGAACCTTCTAAAGTAGTGGAGCTTTCATTTCGGACGTCCCCTTTACTTGCTGCGGGGCTGCTTCTGCAAGCTGAGGGATCCAAGCTCCTGAACATTGAGCCTTGGCACATTGAGCTCTGACCCCACAGCCATCAGTGTTTTAAGGGCTCCGTAACTGTGGTTGTTGAAACACTCACTGCTACCACTGACCCCTGGCGTTCAATTAACTGAAGATCGCGTGGTGTAGGCGCTAGCTCTGCTTTTAGAGACTATTTATTATGGGAAATTTCAAATAGGCAGAAGTGAATCCACTTTTAGGAATGATTCCTTATGTACCTATCACCAAGAATCAACAATTATCAACATTTTGCCAGTCTCATTTCATCTATTCCTTCCCCTCTCTTTGCTTATTTAAAAACAAATCCCAGGCATTATTTTACCCTTAAACTAATCTGCACCTCAAACTGATACAAATTTTTTTAAACGTAGCCACCAATATCACATCCAACAAAATTAATAATTCTTTCATATCATCTAATACTCAGTTTGTATTCAAATTTCCCTGGTTGTGTCCAAGATGTCATTTAATAGTTGATTTGTTCTGATCAAAAGATTAAAAAGTCTTCATGTTGCATTTTGGTATGCCTCTTGTCTCTTATCCTAGAACAATGATTCTAATACTTTCAATAATTTTCTTTATTACCTGGGATTCTTTTATAAAAAGAACTTTCATCAGCTCATTGGTTATCCTAAAATACAGGGATCTTAGAGGAAAGACTGGAAAAAGACTAGATTCTTTCACTTTAATTATCAAATTTTAGAGAAATGATAACCAATAAGGTTTTGTTTGTTTAATATAATTATGCATGCATTTATTTTTACACATTTGATGTTTTAACCCATTATGATCATGATTCTTTATGAGGCCCAAATTATCCCATTGGGCTGGTGGCACATCTTAGAGTTGGCTTCTTTGTTCTTTTGATGTGATTCCCAGACACTTCTTGAATAAGCCTCCTAGTCTGCTGTTCTTTCCACACATAGTACTGGTTTTATTTATAGGCCAGCCATATACCTCATCACCTCCAAGCCTTTGCTCAAGCTGACTTCTTTGCCTAAAATGCCTTTTCCTATTTAGCCCCCCCCCCCAACTAATTGGTATTCTTCAAGACTCAGCGCTAATTTTGCCACCTTTATGTAGTCCCCCTAAATCCTCAGAGTGAGACTTCTTTGTTTCCTTTGGTGCTGTAGTAGCACCAATAGTATTGACCTCCTTGTATTAGTAATTGTTTGCAACTCTGCTCTCCACAACTGTCAGTTCATTGAGGGCACAGTATATCTGAAGTAACTGCTACTTGAAAGCTTAATAAAATGATTCCTAAATGAATACATCCAACTATCTATTAAACAAATTTACTGTCTACTATGAAAGAAATATTGAAAATTTTGAGATTGTACAGCTCACTGGATGATGGAGAAAACAGACATAGAAACAAATGCAATGCTATAAATGGTATGATAATATTTTTTTGTCTGTGGGTATAGCTATAGTGCCCACTTTCTGTTTCTTCTTTCAGAACACTCTTCATCCTGCCCTCCCTCGCATTTTCTCACTGCTGACTCCTCATCATTTGAGGTCTCAGCTAAAAACTCTGAAAGACTTCACTCTATCAGATAAATTTTCTCTAGTAGTCAATAGCCAGCCCCCTCCATAAACACATCAGAAGACACTAACCAATAGAATATACCAACCATAATGGGATATGTGTGAGTACAAGAATATCTTACATAGATTGCAGTAGCCATTTGGCTGGAATTGCTCACTCCCTTGCTGGCTTTGAAGAAGCATGTAGCCATGTTGGGGAACCCCATGTGGCAAGGAACTGCAGGTAGCCTGTCAGAGCTAAAGATGGCCTCCAACCCACAGCCAGCAAGAAATCAAATCCCTCAGTTTCTTGCAAAAACTTTTGCAATTGCAAAAAACTGAATTCTGCCAACAATCTGAGTGAGATATAGTTCCCCAGTAGAACCTCAAATGAGACCACAATCTCAGCCAAAATCTTGATTGCAGTCTTGTGAGACTCTAATTAGAGGAACCACTTAAGCCATAGAAACTGAGACATATTGAAGTTATTAAGATATATAAAGGTGTATTATCATTATGTTTGTGGTAATATTGTTATACAGACAGAAATGATGAATATGCAATTTGTATGAAATTAGGTTCTGTGTCTTTTAGTTTTCTAGTATAGAACCAAGTTTGATATTAGAGAGAGATACTAGTTAATAATAAAATTTCATTAAAATGATAGTTATACTTTGCCATGTTGGGAGATGGTTCTTCATGGGTCTCTCATGTTTCTATTTGTCTCTGCCTTAAATAAGCAGAGAAACAAACAAACAAAAAAAATGGGGGGGGGGTTGTCTCCCTTTGTTTGTGAAGGAGACACAAACAGAGATCATGTTGGACAACAGAGATAGTGTCTACTTTTGAGCAAAGGGCAGACATTCTTACTGTCCATCATTAAAGATTTGGGTTTCCTAAGCTCATTGTTCCTTTCTTGTGATGCAACCCAGTGTGTATGTAAATAGATGTTCTCTAGCCTTCTTCACATCACATTGTGGGAATTGGGGCTCAGGGAACTAGTACAAAAATGCTGATACTTTGCTGCATAGTAAATTATCCTTTATCTCTGACCTAGCAGTTTGCTGGCTTCTACTAGTATTCATGGAACTGTGGCAGGCAAATAGGGTAAAACTTCAGACCTTTCGGAGTTCTTGAAAAGCTATAGAGAATAGTATACAGCATATACTTAACTGTGAATATTGGAAAACTTTTTTTTTTTTTTTTTTTTTGTAGAGGCAGAAATGTTAATACTATTTAAAATTACTTCTGGCCCTGGCCGGTTTGGCTCAGCGGTTAGAGCGCCCGCCTGCGGTCCGGAGAGACCCGGGTTCGGTTCCCGCTAAGGGCATGTGCCTTGGTTGCAGTTTGTCCCCGGCCCTGGTTGGTCGTGCGGGTGGCAGCCACTCGATGTGTCCCTTTCACATCGATGTTTCCCTCTCTCTCTCTTCCTCTCTCTCCCTCCCACTCTGTCTGTACAAAAAATGGAAAAATGTCCTCGGGTGAGGAAAAAGAAAAAAAAATTAAAAAAAATAAAATAAAATAAAATTACTTCTGAACCTGTTAACCAGGCAAGTGAGAATTCGAGCCTTGTAATTCTTCTCCCAGTGTCACTCCTCTACCAACCTCAACTACCCACTTTATTGTTAAAGATAAAGACTCCACACCTGGGATTAGTTAGGCATAAAAATAGCTCAGAATACCTTTATCATGGAGGAATTTTAGAAAGTATTTCCTTCGTTGTTACTTGTTACATTACCAGGACTATCATCCCATCCACAGAATGACTGCATGGTGCCATTCATAGCTAATGTCTCTATTCAGTGTCATACAATAACATGACTGTCCTAAGAAAAAGTCCATTACAGTCACCATCACAATTCTTGCTGCCTACTGAATTAGCAAGTATAGCAATAGCAAAGAGCCCCAGAGACTTAAGATAATAGTATATTGCTAGTTAAAATCTCACTTGAGGTTTTTACATAGGACATGTTAAATCAATTTAAAAGGTCTTCTCTGTTGTGCTCCTTAACTATTCTAGACATTAACCTCTTGTTGGATTTAGATACTCCAATTTTTTTTTTTTTTTTACCATCTTGTCATCTATTTGTTAACGTTGTCCATAGTGTCTTTTAAAATATAAACTGAGCCCTACAGACTGACATCCCTCAGAAGAGGGGGTGGGGGTGGGTGGGAGGAGATAAACCACAGAACTTACATGCATGTATGCATAACCAATAGACATGGACAACAGAGCTGGGGATGGGGTAGGGGTGGGGTGGGGAGGGGGGGCCAACGGGGTAAAAAAAGGAGAAACATCTGTAACAAAAAAATTAATTAATTAATTAAACAATAAAATAAAATAAAATAAACTGAGCCCTGGCCTGTTTGGCTCAGCGATTAGAGCGTTGGCCCACGGACCAGAGAGTCCCGAGTTTGGTTCCTGTTAAAGGCATGTACCTTGGTTGCAGTTTGTCCCTGGCCCCCGTTGGGGTTGTGTCGGTGGCAACCAGTCGATGTGTTTCTCTCACATTGATGTTTCTGTCTCTCTCTTCCCCCCTCTCTCCCTCCTGCTCTATCTGAAGATAAATGCAAAAAATGTCCTCGGGTGAGGATAATATATATATATAGGATAATATATATAGGATAATACATATATATATTGGATAATATATATTGGATAATATATTGGATAATATATTGAATTATATATATATATATATATATACACACATATATACACACACACACACATACTGAGGTATATTAAAATATTTGAGTTTATTTGAGCAAAATTTGATTTGAGTGGGGCAGTGCCAAACCAGAAGTGGTTAGGAAGACATCACAGAGGAGCTTAGGAAAAGGTTTTTATATAGAAAAGGCAGAAGGAAAATAAGGAAACTATTGATTGGCTACAGCTTAAAGCACAGTTAGCTATTTGTGATTGGTTATCCTTAACCTTTTGATTTTGTAACTTGGGGGCATTTACAGACTGTGATTTTGGTTAGACCACATCAGTTTAATGGCCTCCTTCTTTATTTTGATGTAATGAATTCATCAATTTTTTTACTTGCAATTTGTATTTTTGAAATGTTGTCAAGTAGGTTGTTCCCCATCCTTTTCCACAATCTTCTATCAGTTTCTTTTTAAAAAATTTTTTCCCCTTTATTGATTTTAGAGAGAAAGGAAGTGAGTTCTATCAGTTTCTTAGTTTGACCTTTCATATGTAGACCTTGAAAGCATCCAGTGCTCCTCCTTTTGATGTGATGTTTAATTTTCTCTTTTATTTTCTTTCCCAAATGATTTGTTGAACTGTGTTATTGTATGTTTCCAAGTGATGTTGATGTTGCTAGTCCAAGAAACATTGTTTGAGTGGCAAGATAATAAACAACAGGAGTGAACACCTAGTTGAAAGAACTGATGATAGTATGTAAGAATGAATTTAGGAGAATATAAGGGCAATGTGTTATATTATTAAGCATACCAATCCATAGTGAAGTAAAAATAATGCTTATTAAAAGTATTTAGATGACAAAATGGGGATGATTTTAGTAACTTGCAAAATAAGAATATAGAAACCATTCCCATTCAGCACCCATTCAGAACACCTTTGGATTCCGAGCTAAATCTCTGAAATACAGAAACAAACCTTGGTTAGGTGATATTGAAAGTTTGATTACTCAAAATATCTACCATCAGGTAACTACTTAAACAATGCCACGAAGTCCTGCTTTAAAAAATAAGTGCATTTCCTTTGTCCAGTGATTCTCTACAGGAAAAAAAAAACAAAAACAAAAAATGTAACGGGTATATACATTCTATTGCAAACAATACAGGCATCAGTTTACTTATCTACCTAACTGAATTCAAGAAATGTCAAGGAAAGATATTTTGCAATTTTATTAACTGGTATACTTGCCCTGATTGAACAATTCATAATTAAATCAGTAGGAGAGAGCTACAGACACCAATTAGCTGCGGATTTCAAGTGTATGGGGTGAGGCATGGGTGGTAGGGGAAAATTTTTTTCAATACTTATGTAATTTCATTGTTCACTGTCTTTGCTACTTATTTTTAACCAGGTCAATGAATGACTGGGGGAGTGGGGCAGGAAGAAGGCAGCACCCCACCCTAAAATAGAGAACTAATCTGTTACTCAAGAGGAGCCGGCTTTCAACAGTGGTTTCTCTGGTTTAGCATGGACAAATCCTTAGCTCCAGAGAAGTCCTTCTCAACCTGTGGGTCGTGACCCCTTTGGGGGTCGAATGACCCTTTCACAGGGGTCGCCTAAGACCATCGGAAAGCACATATTTCCGATGGCGATTCGTAACAGTAGCAAAATTACAGTTATTAAGTAAAAATGAAAGTAATTTCATGGGGGGGGGGGTCACCACAACATGAGGAACTGTATTAAAGAATCGCAGCATTAGGAAGGTTGAGAACCACTGCTCTAGAGCTTCACCGTGGGTGGAGAGCTTGAATGACGTCTGATAGGCTTCTCTCAACCTTTGTTATAAACTCTCCACATCCTGCTGTGGCCAGTTTGGCTTGGCGGCTGGCGTGTTGGCCTACGGACCAGAGGGTTCCAGGTTCGGTTCCGCTAGGAGCACGTACCAATAATAAATAAATAAACTCTCCGCGCCCTTTCATCTCGCCTCTCTGCGCCTGCGCCATTTAGCCACTTCTGCGCAAGCGCCCTTTTTTATCCTCTCTCTGAACGAGGCCGAACTTCCTGTCCTTTCTAGACCTGACGCCGGAAGTGGCGGCGGGTGACTAGATCGTTTGGGGAGGCTGGCAGAGTTCCGGGTTCTCCTAGTAGTAGCTGCTTTCAGCTTGCAAGATGCCGGGTCTGGCGGCCGCCAGCCCTGCCACTTCTGAGACGCAGGAGAAGAAGCCGTTGAAGCCCTGCTGCGCCTGCCCAGAGACCAAGAAGGCGCGCGATGCGTGGTCAGTGCACAGCCTGGGACCCGGCGGCGGCGCCCCGCGCTTCCTTCCTCACCTTGGGCCCCGCCTTGGGCCGGTCTTGGCCCTCGCTTTGCTGAGCGGCGCCCTTCGGGGTTATTTGAGCTCCGCCGGCTTCCTGGTCGTCTGTGTGGTTGGCTGAGCTCGCAGCTCCGGGCGGGGTGGGGCGCAAACGGGTGAAGGATAGGAGAGAGGTCAGATTGACTCGAGCTCGCGTCACACACTCATTTCTTCCTGGAAGCGTTTGTGAACATACCTTAGGTCGGAAGGTGTAGAGGTGGATACATTTGCTGCTTGATTTAAAGGAACTTTAAGTTAATGGAGACATATACCAGTAATTGCTATACCATGTGGTATGGGCTATTATAGAAGATTTAGCAAGACCAAAGATTTTCTGGTAATGCCTACCAAAATTTAGACATAGTGGGACACAGGATACTAAAAGCATCGTGTCCTCCCTCCCACCTGCCACCCCACCCTTAGGTAGATAATTTAAAAATCAACGGTCTGTGACTGTTAGGTTAACATTGTAGTGTTCTAAATAGTACATCTAGATTACCATCAATCTACAAAAGCTTTTGTTTGTTTTCATTTTATACAGCTCCTATCGTGAAACTAATCTTACTAGAAGGAATTTCCAGATAATGTGAATGTACACTCCCCCCCGCCCCCCCCCCCCGCTCCTTTTTGTCCTTACATGAAAAGTAAAGAAATCATAAGTGGCATAATGAGGTTAATAAGAGTTGTAGGAGCTCTGTTGCTTTTTATTAATGCTCAGTACTTTGCAAATAATATTGTGGAGGGAGAATTTGAAACTGGGAATTCAAAACAAGTCACCCAAGAAGTGCTTCTGTGATTTGCAGATTGTTTTAAGCTAAAGGGACCCTTCTGCCTCTCCCCCTCCCCTTCCCTCTTAACTACCTAGAAGAACTTGAATTGGGGACTTTATCCATAAGAGATAATCAGAAATAATCTCTTTTGACCTATTTATGGGGCAGGACAAACTTCTTTTTACTAAGCATCTGCTTTTGAAATCCTGCACTGATCTTTTGAAGCTCCCAAAGCACTTTACCTCATCCCTAGATCAGGATGTCTTATATGTCTATGTTCCCTTTCTATCTTTCAACCTCTTGAGCATGTGGAGTCTCTGACTCTGTTGTATGCAGGTTTCCCATACATATATATGCATTAAATTTGGTTCTTTTCTTTTGCTAATGTCTCAAGCCAGAAGAACTTGAGGGTAGGGTAAAGTTTGTTCCTCCTCCACAAAAGACTGAAATTTCTTCCATATAACAAACAATATAAGTCCTTATTGATAGTGTACACTACACTTCAGATAGTGTAGTGTCATGATTAAGACTCTGGGATCCAGGATCAAGGTTTGAATCCGGCTCCACCAACTTTGTGACTTTGAGCAAGTTATTTAACATGTCATCTGCCTTATCTGTCTATAAAATGAGCCTAATAAAAGTATGCCTCCAGGATTACTGTAAAGGTTAATGATATAAGCCACATCAAATTTCTGGCACAGTACTTATAGCATTCAATAAATGATCAAGAAACGATTTCTGTTATTTTCATAAGGAGCTTGCCATTCTAGGCAGTCACTCATTTTCAGGCAGTACTTGAGCTATTAAAGGATGTGTAGGATTTAGATGGAGGGAGAACCTACCCTTCTTTAAATTACTTTTGTATCTATTGCCTCAGACCACTGTGGCTTCTCCCCAAATATCTATAGTCAGGAGTTAATTCTTTTACTTATAATTTAATTTAGCTTAACTTGATTCTTTGTTAAAGGTATATTTTCAAGCCCCAAAACAAGTAGATTTATTTAGGTATATTTTCATATTGGGCAGAATCAAAAATTTAATTCCTCTGTGATAGCAGCCTAAAAATTAAGTTCTCTGTCCTTTATTTAATGTAAATATTCAGTCAGTTTATCTTATTATAGAGCAGTATTATTCCTTAGATATAGACCAGAGGCAGTAGTTGATGTGCATACTTATTGCTTCTAGTCAAGATCACACACACACACACACACACACACATGCCAAAATAAACTAGTTATCTGTGAACCATCTATGAGCATGGAACTATCACGAGGCCCCACACCCCCAAAAAACCATTTGGCATAATAGCATTTTAAAAAAACTCCTTACTACATTCCATCAGACCTATGTTCTGCCTCATTCCACATCCTATTATGCATGCTTATTTACTGCTAATATGCTTAATGCCTACTTTGTTATAACAAATACATTTTGTTTTGTAGCATCATTGAGAAAGGAGAAGAGCACTGTGGACACCTAATTGAGGCCCACAAGGAGTGCATGAGAGCCCTGGGATTTAAGATATGAAATGGTGAGCATGGTACTCTCTGATTGGGAAAGTAATACATAGGCTCATTGCTTTAGATTTCTCTATTGCTTTACAGATACAGCAGTCATTGGGCAACATTCTATCTGAAAAGTAGTTCATTTCACGTGCTGAAGTATCACTAAAAAATAACTTCAGTTTCTAATGTAAGGAGTAAGTGATGCTAATAAATTGAGAGGCATTCAGTGGATTCGGGAAGGGGATAATATAGCTTTCAAGAAAGGGCTTGACAAAAACCTTTAGAGTCATGTTAGAGTCAGAAGGAATCATGGCTTAGGAAGTTCATAATATTCAGTTGTACAATTTAAAGGAACTGAAAGGAAAATATTCTCTATTCCTTGTTTCTAATGTAGGTCTTTAAATAGGGAGTAGGCAACACATGAAGCATTGCTTTCTGCAAAACAAAAATGGATTTTTTGCTATTTCTTTTTTGTATTGTACTTATTCTAATAAAGTTCTAATTAAAACCTCAGGCCATTTTTTTTTGAAGAACTTTGAATCTAAATTTTAATGCTGAAAGAAACCTTAATAAATGCTTTTCTTTCATTTAGAAGCTCTTCCTCCATATAGCAACTTGACTCCCTCACTTCATTCAGGCCTCTGTTCAAATCCCTCTTTATTGGAGAGGCTTTCCCTCAACATTCCATCTAAATAGTATCCCTTCCCCATCAGTCTATCTCTATCACAGCCCTGTCCCATAGAACTTTCTGTGATAATGAAAGTGTTCTGTACTTGCACTCTCCAGTATGGTAGCCACTAACTATATGTGGCTGTTGAGCCCTTGAAATGTGAGTAATAAAACTGAGGAACTGTATTTTTAGTTTTATTTAATAGCCACATAGGGCTAGTACCTGTTTTATTCTTAACTCCATTGCTTGCATATTATGTATTTATCATACTCCAACTAGAATGCAATCTCTGAGAGAGTAGGAATTTTCTGTTTCACTCACTGTCCCCGGGACCTATAACAGTACCTAGCACATAGTAGGTGTTCATTAGAGGATTATTAAATGAATAAGTAAATGAGGAAACTAAGTTCTATAAGGATTAAATGATTCCTGAGGTGGATTAGGAGGATCAGAACTGGAACCTGTCTCCAGGCAGACTCCCTCTGCTTTGTGCGCGCACGTGCGCACACACACGTCACACCACCACCTTTAACTTAAAAGCTGAAAGATAATGCCAAAGCCACATACCAATATAACAGTAATAGAGAGCCTGGCTTCTTTCCCTTTCACCTCCTTCCTGCCTCTTTGGAATTTCACATGTGGCCAGTGTTCCTCATTAAGTTGTAAAATTGGAGGGGTAAGGAACTTATCCCAAACTGATAAGAAGTATCACTGTATGTAGTGGAAAACAGTCTAGGCTGAAAATACTCAAGCTTAATTTTGGTTCTCCTGATGTCTAGCTTAGCATATGTTTTACTTATATTTAAATATTTGATATTTAAATAGTAACATTAATTTTATTTAGATATTTAAATATTTAATTTATTTAAATAAATATTTAAATATTTGCAGTTATATTTGATGTTCATCAAGACATTAATCTTCTCTGTACTTTTTATTTATAAAAAAGAGAACCATAATAAGTTTTGTGATTTAAATATGTTATGGTGTATCTGCTCTGTGTATACATGAGACAGTAAGCTTTTAGATTAGATGGTCATGGTGAACCATTTTGTAAAATAAGTAAATTTGGGTGGGGAGCTGTGGTCTTAAAAAGTATAAATATATCTATTGATTATTTTTAAAGACATGGAATCTCAACATTTGTACACAGTTTTCTTCTTGTTAGTATACACAGATCCAGGGGAGAGCCCTGAGACTGAAAATATACCCCCTAAGTGGAGGGCAAGGAAAGACTAAACAAACAGGCTGACCAATCCAGTCTGGTAATTAATGGAGTTTATTAAGGGAAATTTACATATGAGGCCTTTCTTGGGCAGCTGCAAGACAAAATAGATCCCTGCACCCCTTTAGGTACCAGAAAATTATATGGGGTAAACAGGGACATAGTCACAGATACTAGTATGTGAATGCAACCAGGTGAGGATGACAACCTGTTCCAGAACCAGCACATAGGAGAGGCAAGGGAGGGTTGCTGGTTTATGTCAGAATGAACAATTAAGATCAGATAATCCATAAAGGGAGTTTGCAAAAAGCAACCTTTGTTCTGGCCCAGGTCCAGTTTTCTGGACAGACGGCGATCACGTCATGGAACAGTCTCTCCTCCACACTTGTTCATAATCTCTCTTCCTAGTTAGTTATGTTGGCTAGGGCTAAACCTGCCTTGATAAAAAATGATTTTTTTAAATGCTGATTTTAGGAACATCAAAAGCTTCTCTGGGACTACATGTATATCACAAAGGTAGTACAGTTGTTATAAGTAGCATATATTCACAAGGACCAAGAAGATAGCTTAGTTTTCTTATGTTATTGGAACAGAGTGAGAGTAATTCCTATGTTCTTCATTTGTGTGGAGAAGAAAATGCAAGAGCTTTGGACTTAGAAAACCTGGTGTTTAACTGATTGCGTGATCTTAGGCAAGTCCTTAATTTTCTGAACCTTGGTTTCCTCATCTGTAAAGCAAAGATAATAATATGTGACCAAACTACTTCACAGAGTCGTTGTGATGATTAAATGATATATGTATGAATAGGCTTTGTAAACTGTCGAATAGAAACTAGAAAGGAATGTTCTATATCTTGGAAGTTGTGGATAGCAGACATTCAATTGACGTCTGTTGAGTATATGACCTAATAATGTATTTTTGAACTCCAGTTAGAAGAACAACCTGAATTCACATAAAGCCTTTCTAAGAATTTTTGGAAGAGGAACAGATGTTCTGTTTCTCTAACCTCCATGGGGAAGTGGAGGAACAGTGAAGTCAAAAAGACTTGCTGAAGTTGAGTAGATAGATGGTAAAATTAAAACCAGAGTCCAGGTCTCTTTTTTTTTTTTAATCCTCACTCCATATTTTTCCATTGATTTGAGAGAGAGAGAGAGAGAGACATCGATCAGTTGCCTCTTGTGCTTGCCCTGACTGGGGATTGAACCCACAACCTAGGCATGTGGCCTGATCAGGAATCAAACCCACAACCTTTTTGGTGAACAGGACAACACTCCAACTAAGTGAGCCAGCCAGCACAGTACTTAACACTTTACTCCTTGAACTTAATGAGGTTTTATTGCAAATATATTCATTTTTAGCATAGTCTTGATCCATAATCTGAAAACTTGATAATGAATGCTAATTAGAAAGGCTTGTTGTTGAGATGCATAGGTATATAACTCAGTAACCAGGTCATTGGCTGTAGAGTAAAATCCAACAGTGCTGTCTGCACTGTTATGAGATAAACTTAACTAAATCGATATTTCTCAGACTGGTAGACCACATTTTTCTGAGGATAACTTCAAAGAAAAAATATTTTGCAACCTTAGGTCTTCCCAGTAATGATTATGAAAGTTCCAAATTTAAAATCCTTTATAGATATTAATGTTATTTCCTAAATAAAGTAGGTCTTAATTGTATCTTGAAATCAGTAGGTTGGGACTTAATATAAAAGTAGGCTGCATTCAGCCAGAGGTGTACCTTATAATCACCTGAGGAATATTTTCCCAAACTGACAAGCCTGGGCCCTGATCTGCACCTGCTGACTTAGAAACTCCTAGATAATTTTCAAGTGTGCCCCTCTTTAAGAACCAGTGGCTTAAGCTGAAATGATAATTCTAGATATAAACTATTGAAAGATTTAATAGTAGCAAAAGCAGAGAATTGAGAACTAAGAAAAATTAGGTGTGTGATGGTGATGATTCTAAACACTTTTCTTCTGTCTTATGACTGCTTTGTTTGCTGAAAGCAAAACTAGAGGAACCTAAAACCTGCTGAAAAACTTAAAGAGGAAAAGGCAGTTCGTATCTTTCTGCCTTTAGGATTCAGAAGGAACCTGGAGAACTCATTTGGGAGGCTAAAGTTATTGAAAGAAATTAGAAGACTAGCACTTATTGGTGGTGATAATCGGTATTTATTAAGTTTAACAGAACTTAATAGTAGGTTGAAATATGCTTAAAATATGCTGACTTCACGTGCGCGCGCACAACTTATAACTTTTGCTTTTCACTTCATACATCTTTGCTAAACATACTTGAATCAGGAGGGGTTAGCAAATCTCTTTTGAGTATCTAAGTTGTCTGAAAATATCCTGAGAAAATCCAGGAAAAGGGTTATTTCTGCTATTCAAACATATATTTATTTAATAGATACTTATTGTTTAAGACCCTAAAAAAATGCCAAAATGAGAAGGACAGGATCTCTTCTGTCAAGAACTTTACACTCAAGGATATCACCGAGGTTTATACACAGAGACTTATATGTGATATAGTCAGTAGCAAGAATACCAGTGTTTGCTATGGACTGCTATCTCTTGAGATGTTGAGTGGCTTCATTTTGGGTTATCTTTCCTGCTCAAACCTTTTCCTTAACTGTATTTTTCCTTTGAGCCTTTTAGAAAACAGAGTTTAGATGTTTTCTTGTTGATGAGGCTCATCTTTTCTAAACCAATTATAGGGAATAGCTAGATGAGGGAAGCACTTGCTTTAGACTGGAGAGTTGGCTAGCCCAGGTTACTTGGTTACCCTTTTAGCATTGTTCTCTGTCTTCTGGGCCTGGGGGTGGGAGTGGAGGTGGGTGGGAGCTGTCTGGAGGGAAGCCTGGTACAGCCTGACTAGACCAGCAACCCTATCTTCTCTCCTCTCCCTTTTTGATCTCTATAAATGGATTGCAAAGGGGTTCCCTTATTTTGCCCTTTAGATAAAGTGAGTAACTTTCCACTGGAAATGCCTTGTGCGTAGAGCTAACCTTTTGCTTTTCACTTCATACATCTTTGCCAAACATACTTGAATCAGGAGGGGTTAGCAAATCTCTTTTGAGTATCTAAAAATAAACTGCCTTAGCCTTTTTGGGAAGATATTTTTGAGAAAATAAATACATAGTTTTACTTCAACAAAGACATCTAAAGATTAAACAGTGTGATGGATTGAACAGTTTCAGTAGTATTTTTAGTTAGACAAAACTAGAATTTTAAAATTTGCATCTTTTATTTTGTGACTGGTTTAGCATAATTGTGACCGGTAGTTAATAGTACTTGGCTGAGGCGCTCATTTCTAGCGGTCTTAATTCCCTAAATTCATAAGTCTGGCCTGATGTTTGAAATCTGACTTTTCTAAAATAAATCTTTTTCTGTAGGTGGCCTGCTCTGTGAATGAATAATTCCTGAAGAATGAAGATAATTTAATATTTTGGGGAGTTCTTTAATGAACTTTGGTAAATGGAAAAAGTATTTATAATATATTATTAAAAAAAAAAAGGAAATGCCCTGTTTAAAAATCAAGTGTATTTCTTTTTGTGTTCATCACAATTTCACATGACATTTACTTATTTACTTTTCTTAACGAATATAGAATAAACAAATCTTGTAATATAAATTTCTTATGTTGTTGTATCATTCTGGGAACTCAGTATTTGTTGTAAGGAGAAAGCAGATATTGATCTCATCCAATGAAATCTCCAAAATCAAGTGCATGGAAGTCAGAAATAACCCTTTACCAATTTGGAATGAGTATGGTAGCCATATCATCTCACTTAAGGTCTGTTTTTTATTTTTAACTTTCTTAAAGGCAAGAACTAGACAAGCCTTCAGTCTTAGAATTTTAAATTTATATTGTTCATTACTAGTTCTTACTTCTGGGAAGGTTATTTGTTTAAATTTTGGACCACATTACGATACCTTGGCTTGGAAAATTCTCAACTGTTTGGCATAATTAGTCTGTAGATGACTAATTACTTTATAGGATAGACTAGGATCTTAAGTTTAATGCCTAGGACCCAGAGAGAGTTGTCTCATTTAGAGCCTATGCCAGAGGCTGAATTAGTACAAATAAATCACTAATGAAAAAGCCCTATACTGTGCTATGGTGATTCCTGGAATAAAACATAACATAGAGTGTGGTTCACTAACTAAAGCAACTCTGTGGTCCTATTGATTGCGTAAGCACTAATGAAGCAGATGGTCATATTCTGCCTTTAAGTACATTGAGTTTCAAATCTGAACAAAAGATACTGAGGAACATAAGTAAGAGGATGCGTACTGTTTATACATCATTGTGTGATGGGAAAATTGCCTGTTTATAAACTAAAGGAGATGAATTATTAGGATTCATTCCTATGTAAGGGTAACATCCTTAGGTTCAATAGCCACCTATGTGACCTCAAGCAAGTTATAGCCTCTTTGGGCCTGTTTTTCTCATCTGAAAGAAAAAAGCCCAGCCAGTGTGGCTCAGTGGTTGAGCCTCAACCCATGCACCAAGAGGTCGTGGGTTCGATTCCCAGTCAGGGCACATTCCCAGGTTGTGGGCCCAATCCCCAGTGGAGGGCATGCAGGAGGCGGCCAATTGATGTTCTCTCTCATCAATATTTCTATCTCCCTGTCTCTTCCTCTAAAGTCAATGAAGAGCCCTGGCCAGTTTGGCTCAGCAGTTAGAGCGTCTGCCTGCGGTCCGGAGAGACCCGGGTTCGGTTCCCGCTAAGGGCATGTACCTCGGTTGCAGTTTGTCCCCGGCCCTGGTTGGTCGTGCGGGTGGCAGCCACTCGATGTGTCCCTTTCACATCGATGTTTCCCTTTCTCTCTCTTCCTCTCCCTCCCACTCTGTCTGTACAAAAAATGGGAAAAAAATGTCCTCGGGTAAGGATAAAAAAAAAAATAAAGTCAATGAAGAAAAATTATTATTTCTTTTATCCTCACCCAAGGACATTTTTGCATTTATGTTCAGATAGAGCGGGAGGGAGAGAGAAAGAGAAACATCGATGCGAGAGAGACACATGGAGTGGTTGCCACCCACACGACCCCAACCAGAGCCGGGGACAAACTCTAATCAAGGCACATGCCCTCAGCGGGAACCGAACCCGGGACTCTCTGGTCCGCAGGCCGACACTCTAACCACTGGCCAGGGCAAGAAAAATTATTTTTAAAAAAAAGAAAGCAAGGATAGTAATACCTAATTCACAAGATCATGAGTACTAATTAAAATAGTGTATATAAAGCATTTGGTGTAGTATCTAGAATTTAGTGTTATTGACATTCTCTAATTCTCTGATTCTATATTCATATTTTCACTTGAATATTTGGATATATACTTTTATTTTAGTAAGTATTTGACAGTTTTTAGAGCATTGTTTTAGGTGAAGAAAAGAATCTTTGACTCCTAAGACAGATACGAACCAACTTTTCACCCAGTATAGATTCCTGGCAGATTCTACTTGAATATGTCCTAGGACTACAAAAAATTAATAATCACCCTGGCCGGTTTGGCTCAGCGGTTAGAGCGTCAGCCTGTGGTCCAGAGAGACTGGTTCCCACTGAGGGCACGTACCTCGGTTGCAGTTTGTCCCCAGCTCTGGTTGGGTCGTGCGGGTGGCAACCACTCGATGTGTCCCTTTCATGTCAATGTTTCTCTCTCTCCCTCCCACTCTATCTGAACAAAATATCGAAAAATGTCCTTGGGTGAAAAATAAATAAATAAAAATAAATAAAAAATTAACCTTATCACCCAATGTTAATTTTTGATGTATGTTGTTCCATACTTTTCATATGTATTTATATATTTTTTATTTTTTTAATAGATTATTTTTTCTTTATTGATTTTTTTTTTTTTTTTTTTTTTAGGGAGAGGGGAAGAGAGAGAAACATCGATAAGAGAGAACATTAATTGGCCGCCTCCTGCATGCCCCCCACTGGAGATCGGGCCCACAACGTGGGCATGTGCCCTGACCAGGAATCAAACTGGTGACCTCTTGGTGCATGGGTCAGTGCTCGACCACTGAGCCACATTGGCCCAGCATGCATTTATATATTTTTTAAAACAAAAAGATCATTTTTCTGTGTTACATATTTTTAATGAAATCATAATAGTAATTGCCTTTTTTCTTTCATATATTTTACCATCAGTAAGTATTTCTACAATGTGATTTGTGTTGGCTATGTGTAAATCCATTTTGTGGCTTATTTAACCAACTCCCTATTGTTTGTACATTTATTAATTAAGCAAATGTTCATAGAATGCCTGCTTTATGGCAGATACATTCTAGTAATTGGGTCTTAGTCTTGAATAGGATACAATCCTGATACCTAAATTATTTCTGAATTTGGTGGGGGTTGGGAGGTGGTATTTTATTTTGTTGTTTGGGTTTCTGGAAACATAAGGAAGAAATCACCTGAAATCCCACCAGTCTACAAGAGGACTACTTTCTACTGACCTAGGCATTCATCTCTTTTTGCATGTGTATGTTCTTTTTTACTTTTTATTTTCTTAAATATGTTTTTATTGATTTTTTGAGAGAGATAGAGAGAAACATGGATTGGCTGACTCCTGCACACCCCCTAATGGGGATTGAGTATACCCTGATCTGTAATCGAACCAGGACCTCTCAGTCCATGGGACAACACTGAATCCGCTGAGCCATACCAGCTGGTCTAGTTTTTATTTTTTAATGCTCCACAATAATATTGCAATAGAAGTTTTATAGGAAACTCTTTGCAAATGTCTTACAAATCACTTTACCAAGGAGGGGCCAGAGGCTATGCACATTTTCAAGGCTTTGGATGAGTACTACCTGACCTCTAGAAAGGGGGTACCTGTTTATAACTTAGTATCTGAGGATGCTTGTTTCCCTAAACTCTTAGCAAGGTTAATTTTTCAACCTTTACCAGTTTGACATGCTCACCTGATTTGTGAAAGAACCAAAGCACCTTTCTTGACATCTGCCATAGTTAAAAATACATGTCACAAGACCTGCCCATTCTTCCCTAGTGCTTAAGTCTTCCCAAAGATTATGTGCAGTATTATGGTACTACTGGTAATAAGAGATGTCACCACAGTGATTGGAAAAATATGAAACACTTAGCTTCCTAATAGGTGACCACCATTCAGATGTACCTCTTTGTTAAGCTCCTGCTAGTCACAATAATTCCCAAACTCTTAACAAAGATACATTCACACTGTTCTCTAATTAGTTCCATTGGTGTAACTTGGAACTGTTTGACTTGAAGGTTGATGAGAATAGGACCATGTCCCTAGGTAAGGCCTACCTTAAGATAATTATACTGGCCCTGGCCGGTTTGGCTCAGTGGTTGGAGCATCGGCCAGCGGACCAGAGAGTCCCGGGTTCGGTTCCCGTTAGGGGCACGTAACCAAAAAAAAGAATTATACTGTACCTTCCACAGGTCTGATGTGAGGGTGATGGAGAAACTATAACCCCAAATTTGCAGACATTGAGGTGAGTACAGGCATTCAGAGAGGTTTAGGAAATTGCTCTGGTCAGAGCTGGTGATCTAGGATGTGTCTTGGTCTTTAGAGTTCAGGCCCAAGTTCTTTTCTCTACTAGCTGTTAATATAAACATATTCATAGTTACACATTCATTTAGTTCATCTTTTGTGAAGCTGTCCTAGGTGTTGAGTATTCATGTGTGAATCAGACGTATATCTTGTCTTCAACAAGATGAGAGGCTATTTGATTCAACATTTACTGAGGGCATACATTCTGCCAACTATGTGCTAAGCAGTGAACAAAGCTTAGTAAGACTTGGACCCTGCTCTCAAAGAGCTTGTAGGCTAGTGGGTAGATGTATATAAGCTATAAAAATATAAAGTTCAATACTCAGTGCTATAATAAATATTCCAAGACGCTTTCCCTAAAAGTATTTCTGCATGTGAGACTATACCATTGTTTCTTTATTAAAAACTGCTAAGTGATAGTTCCATCTGTGTTGATTATGGAGCTTTGACAGCAAGTAATAGAAAATCCTCATCGGGGAAAACTCACATAACTGGAAGTCCAGGGTTGGCAAGTTCTACATGCAATAATAATCAGTGATGCCTTCCAAGACTCGGGTTATTTTCATCTCAGAGCTCTCCCTTTTAGGACTGATGAAGCCAAACATGTACTTTATTATTCCAAAGGCATGAGTTCTCCTTTTTTAGTCTGATTGAGCCAAATTAGGTTTATTTGTATTTTTATGAACCAATAATAGTTGTCAGCAGAATGACTTATGCTGATTGGCTTAAACAGACACCCCCCCGCCCCCCTTTTCTTGGACCCATGTGTAGGTTAGATATCACATGGAACAAAACGAATTCTGTTACAAGGAAGAAGAGGTAAATGGATATTGAGTAGGTGTCCAATTTTCCACTAAATCATCTTGTTCCTTAACAACCAAATCATCCAGAATGGTCAAATTGGGTTTAGAGGAGCAATTCTTCTCACAGTTTACTTAAAATTTTGAAAGAAAATTATTGATAGAACATAATAGTAGTCTGATGCTCAGTTTTCAGGACAGTCTTGTCCAGAGATCTGTTCTCTGAACAGTAGTCCTTATGGAAATCCTTAGGGAGATCTGACTGGCGACTTCCAGCCGCCAAGTACTAGAATACCAGCTACATCTTGATGTCTGGAGGTTGCAAGTTCCAGGTTTGAGACAATGGCTCAGTGATACTTTCCAGAACTGAGTCTTGCCTGTTGTTCTGTTCTTTATCCTTCTCATCCTTAGACCTATCATATATCTCATGGCTACGGTCACTTCAAGTATTACATCATTGCATAACTATTCAAGCCAGGATGAAAGTTAGCAGGCTTACTGTCTATCAGGGAGTATGCTCTTCCCCAGAAGCTCCCACATGCACTTCCTTAGTCACATGCCCACCCTTAAACCTCTTGCTATCCAGGGGAATGCTTGGCTCTGACCAGTCTTATTTCAGGCCCCTAGCAACTGGGGAAGAACCCCACCTTCCTTAACATATTGCCAAAGCAAAATCAGACTTCCATAAATTAAGAAAACTAAGCTTACTAGAGGATAGGCAACCGGTAGTGTCTGCCTCAGACCAACTTGGCATATGTGTCCAAAGCCTCTATTTTAATATCTGAATTAGGAAAACATTAATCTCAAATTCTGTGTGGTGAAGAACATGCTTTAATGTTTTCCAATTCACAGACCAATAATAGGAAAATGAAAAATACACACACACACACACACACACACACACACGTATATATATGTATACACACACATACACTTTTTAAAAAGACATGCACTACACAAACCCAAAGTTTTTATTAAACTCAAAGGCCACAAATTTCTCTGTCAAATTACTATAAAATGTCTAAATACTTTTTAATTTCTGTTCTCATCATGGACCACTGACGATCGCAGACCACTGTGGCTCATGACCACCTTGGCGAGGTTCTGTTTAGTGCGCCTACCTGCCTCCTGCCTCCTGCCTCCTGCCTCCTGCCTCCTGCCTCCTGCCTCCTGCCTCGTGTCCTGCGGCCCCTTTGCTTCACCTACAACAGTCTGTTTTCTGTTACCAGAATATGCCGTGTGTTTCTGTTTTACTTCTGGACTTGACTTCACATTCTGTTCTCCCTTCCTGGAATGTCTTCCCCTAGCTGGGAACACCTACCCATCTTTTTAGACCAGCTTAACTGTCACCTTCCTTGCAATATTTTCCCCGAATTCTCTGCTCCCCCATCAGTATTTCCTTTGAATCCCATGTATACTTACTTTATTGGATGATTATTTCTAGGCCAGCCTCCCTCACCAGATCAAAAGTTCCCTGAAGGTGATAATTGTCTTGCTCATATTTATATCCCCTGTTCTTGGAGCACATCCTTTGCCCTAAATAAAGGCTTATTGAATTGAATCCACTCAATGAATAAGACTTATGTTTCTTTCTTGTTACTCTCCCCCAAATATTTTTCTACTGTGCTTCTGCCGGCCTGTTTGTGGATTTCCTTATAAGAACGCACCATTTTGACACACAGATTTTTCTTTCGTCTTCTTTCAAGTCTGGGTTTAAAAACAAGATACAGCTTTCCATTGTGTATTCCCAGCATGGGTCCTTCTTCCATGCATCAATGTCACTATCACTGCAGGCAGTGAGCGGGGTTATGGACACATGACGCCACTCCAGCAGCATGTTCAAATTCCCTGGAGCAATACATGAGCCCATATGTGGCTACATATAAAGTCTCCAAAGTGCCTAGCAAGATGGTACAGCACAGAGAGCTGGTCACAGGGACCTAGGCTTTAGTCTTTACTCATGTACTAGCTCTGTGGTCTTGGGCAAGTTCTTTAACTTCTCTGAGCCTGTTTCTTTCATTTAAAAAAAAAAAAAAAAAGGTATTATGGGATGGCAGGAGGAAACAATTGCTTGATAAATGTTAGTCCCCTCTGCTCAAATGGGCATGTGTGGATCCACAAGAAAAGCAGGCTGAGAAAAGTAGTCAATGGGTTTGCTGTCTCTTTAAAGGGTCGGGGCCAGCCTATGCTCTGGGCTTGCTGAGAAAGATGACCTGCTTTGAAATTCTATCCCAGGCAGAGCCCTGGTCGCTTCTCTGTTCCTGTGCTTCTGATTTCCTTGCTCACAGCTGGCAGGGACCGCGACGTTGGCGATGTTGGCAGCCGAGGGGTGCATGACTAAGGTGGAGGGATGAGTAGCTGCTGCCTGTTACAAAGTGGTGGTTTGTTAGAGAGGCAGGCCCAAATCCCCAGCTCCACTGCTCAAATGACAACACGGAGCCAAACCCCTGCTGTGAGCAGGCTCCAGGGGAGGCTTTCCTTTCCAGGCTCTCCAGCTCTTTTCCTTGACCACTATTTTCCGACCTCTCCACTTTAGAAAGGAGGAAATACGATGCATATTTGTTGATTTTAATTAAATAAGGAAAAAGCTGACGTCCTTCAACGTGCCACACATTTTCACTCCTCTGTGCCTCAGTTTTGCTGTTCTCACCGCTAGAAATACTCCTCTCCTTCTACCTACCTGGGCAATTCAGCCCTTCTCACCTCTGGAATCAGATGTTAGCTCTTCCTTCCTCGATGCCACCCCGTCTAGGCTGCCATCTCCCAGTCACCATGCATCACACATGGAATTGCCCTTGGTTTTTAAATTTTTTTTTTCCATTACAGTTGACATTCAATATTATTCTGTGTTAGTTTCATATGTACAGCACAGTGGTTAGACAGTCATGTACTTTACAAAGTGCTCCTCCACTATTTCCAGTACCCACCTGGCACCATACATGGTTACTACAATATTAATGACTATATTCCCTGTGCTGTACTTTACATCCCTGTGACTATTCTGTAACTACCAATTTGTACTTCTTCATTCCTTCTTTTCACCCAGCCCCCCAACCCCCTTTCCCTCTGACAACCACCAGTCTGTTCTCTGAGTCTGTTTGTTCATTCGTTTATTTTGTTCTTTAGATTCCACATATAAGTGAAATCATATGGTATATTTGTCTTTCCCTATCTGACTTATTTCACTTAGCATAATACCCTCTAGGTCCATCCATGCTGTCACAAATGGTAAGATTTAATTCTTTCTCATGGCTGAGTAACAGTCCATTGTATGTGTGTACCACAGCGCTTTTATCCACTCGTCTACTGATGGAATCGCCTTGCTCTTGAGGTGTCTTTCCCTTGATGGAGGGAAAGCTCTCGAGAGTCTTTGATTCTCTAAGTGCTTGGCTCATAGTAGGCACTCAGTTGAGTTGCAAACCTCTATTCCTCAGCATATTTGACAATTCCTCATTTCTCACAAATTATGGCTAGGTTACTAGCAGTATAATAACAGTCCCTATGGATTGAGCACTTGGATGGTTCTGGAAGATACTGGGTGCCCCCCCACACACACAAGGAAAAAAATCAAGGAGTCGTTTGGAAGCCAGAGGGACATTTCTTAGTATGTTTACATATTCCAGATTTATTGCTTGGTGACTCAAAGGAGACCCCAGATCACCCAGAAGTTCCTTGGATATCAGCAGACTTCTTGGGAGCAGTGTGGGGTTGGAAGTCACAGATCTAGTCCTGTATTTCCACTAACTGTGCAAACTACTCGGGTCCCAGCAGTATGTCTGGTCCAAATCCTGATTCTGCCACATAGATGCTACCTGTGAGAACTTGTCACCTCTCTGCACCTCAGCTTCGTTCAGAGACAGAAGAAAGATAATGTGTATTTGGGTTGTTGTGATGATGAAATGATATTTGTGTAAAGTACCTAATCTAGGTCTGGCATTCCATAGGTATTTAATAGGTGGTAATTATTATACTTTGCAAATATTGGCGTGGGTAAGGTGATGTTCTGAGCATGTGTCACCATTGCATTAACTATTACTAGATCCAGGTATACACAGGGGAGAGTCAACTCGGCACTCAATATGTCAAATGAATGCCTAGTGATTTTTACAATGTGACTTAACAAAGGCCCCGAGGGGCTTTCCAGTTCTCACTGTTAGGATTTTTTCTGATAATAGTCCCATAGTTTCCTACTTTGATGTGTCCTCCTACCTCAGGAGAACCCCTGGTCCTCCCCACAGGGCGCCCTGACAGTCCTTCCTGAGCTGTGGTGGATTCTGTGTTCCCGTTGCCTTTGTTCTCCTGCCCGCCCCTCTCGCCCGAGGTCTTATCTCGTCCCTTGGGAGGTATGTTAAGTGCTCTGCCAGCCTGCCTGTGTGCCTGGCCTGTTTTTTCTCACTGCCAGTACCTCTTGTATTCCAATTCCAAACATGGTATCCATCTGGGGTCACCCTTTCTTCCGGTGCCAAGACAGGCACATTCCAAATGGAACACAAGTGTGCCTCCTGCGCCGGGCTCTCCTCACTCTGTGTGGGGAAAACACAGAGCAGGATGTGGCCCTTTATCATCGCTCGCTGCTGAAGTTTTCAGGCCCATCGTCCTGTCCTTTCCTCGGGACAATTTAGGTTTTCTGCTAAGAGCCAAATGTGAAGACTGGCCTGACATCTGGAGCCCAGGAAGCTCGCCAGAGCTCTGCCGGGAGGGCCAGCACCCTGCAGAGGGGGAGAGGATAACAAGTTTCAAACTTCTCCACGAAGTGGCTATGTTCTGCCTTTCATTCCCAAAGCTACCAGAAACATTACTCCTAGGAAAGGTGGCGTCAATGGTGAGAAGCCAGAGGTGAGAAGGCACCTAGGAGGACAGACTGCTGCTTTTCCTGAGTTTCCTATGTGGGACACTTGAGCCTGGCAAGGCTTTGAGACGCCCCAAAGATGAGCGCCAACAGCAGCACACTGGGCCAGCATCTCTTGCAGGGGCCGGTGTGCACTGGCTGGAAGCAGAATGTGGAAGGGGCTCTCTACCACCTGGCTAACTGCATCTTGCTCCTGGGCTTCATGGGGGGCAGTGGAGTATATGGATGCTTCTATTTCTTTGGCTTCCTGGGCACTGGCTTCATGTGCTGTGTACTGTGGGGCTGGTTCAATGCCTGTGGCCTGGACATTGTCATCTGGAACTTCCTGCTAGCAACGGCCTGCCTGCTCCAGCTGGCCCACCTGGTCCACCGCCTGCGCAAGGACACCCTCCCTGAGGAGTTCCATCTCCTCTACAAGACGCTGTGTCTGCCCCTGCGTGTGCCCCTGCAGGCGTACAAGGAGATTGTTCGCTGCTGCCAGGAGCAGGTCTTAACTCTGGCCGTGGAGCAGACCTATGCTGTGGAGGGCGAGACGCCCATCAACCGCCTGTCCCTGCTGCTCTCTGGCCGGTAAGCTACTCTGTCACTGCCCACACTTCTTGTTTCCCAGTAAGTCCCTTTCCATTTCGTGTCCCTTTCCAATGACGGAGGATGTGGTAAGTCAAACAAACCAAAATAGACTTTTCTAAGCATGAATTTGCTTCCTCTTTCTTAGCATTTTCCCAGAGAAAAATAGATCATGAGGCAGCTTCTTGGTTAGCAGGAAGGACTGCATGAGCTCCTGCTGCTGGGGGTGTCGGGTGAGTGCTTCTTAGCCTGGGTCCACAATGACGCACATACCTCCCACACACACCACTGTGTGATGCCTAAGCCACAGCAACAATTCTGTAAGCTTTGGAAAGCAACATTTCAGTAAAATCAATTTGTTCCTCCCATGTCCATTCAACATTTGCTAAGTTGAATGTGCAGGGACCAGTGCCCAAACAGAGGGGTTTCCTGGAACCCGTTTCCGGCCAGGGCATCAAGGATATTGGGAATATCCTGTGAGACTCTGGAAAAGCCATTCTGTACACACCCAGGTATGGAGAGGGAATACCCCTTGTCCACGTTTCCATTCCCAGTAGTTCTAGTGAGTTTCTTGCAGGCCAAGAAGTCAGATACTGTAAATCAATGTCCAGGCCAGACAGTGAGAAGAGATCAGTGATGCCCACACGTGTCTCACTGAGGATTTCATGGAGACACCTGGCTGACTCCATGTAAGAAGGCTGACAGTCTGACATGAGCAGAAATGGTTATGGTCAGGGGCCGTGTATGCCCGGGCCATTGGCCGTACCTTCTGAACAAGTACAGGGAGTCGGTGCTGCCCTGGGCAGCTGGAGTCTTCGAAACACGGCCTTCGTGGGACTGGTGTGGGGCTGAGCAGCAAACCGGGTCCCTGGGGCTGCAGTATTTCAAAAGACTCTATCTTCAGTTTTCTCCCCTGCTTTCTTGAGACCAAGAGAATGTGGCAGAAAAGATAGGATGGTAATCAGAAAGCTCTCTTCCAAGGGGGAAAATGTGAGACCCGGTAAGACTGCCAATCACAGAGTGGAAAAATGAAGAGTTTGATGATGATGGTTCTTCGACAACTACTACTACTAAAATATACATTTATCTATTAATGGTTAGAATCAAAAGTGATTATATATAATTGAATTTTGTTTGGACTCAGAGGTCCTGGGTTGAAAGAGCTATCAGGTTTTGTGGGGAGAAATTTTATTTTATTATGACTAAACTGAAGTATAACCAAATGCAATTATTTGTAAACCAACACATGGATAAATACAAACACATTGTAACTACTGCCAAAATGTTTGCCCCTACAGTTCCATGCTTACAATAAGATCATTAGGAGATGTGCTTGTCCATGAGGCCGTGTTATTCGCTTGCCCCTTGGGGCTCCTCTCTGTTAAAAGGAGGAAATTGAAACTCGTGGGAGAAACGCCCACTCCACTTGTGTGCTGTTCATTTATGGAAATGTGTTACGATTCTTGTATGGTTCAGGTATCTTTAATATGATGGATTGACCATGAACTTGTATAAAACCACTTCCCTGTGAAGGTGAGAGAGGGGCTTGCTCCCTCAGCATGGCTTTTCCTAGTATACTTAGCATCAAAAATCCAAGTCAGAAATTAGACCATTTTGATTTTTATTTCTTGCTTTTCAAGGTTTGGAGTAAGAGATTTGTTTTGTTACCTTTCGGTGGCATCTGTTTCAATCTTGCTACGTTGGAGCTGGGGGAAGAGGATTCTAGTCTATGAGCAGGCTCAGGTTTTAAGAGAGACTCCTGTCCCATTGGCTGGTGATGGTGAGGCACCAAACACCTCAGAGTAGAAGACAAAAACTCCATGCCAGGGAGCGGGGCTTCTTGTGCTGCTCTCCCCACTCACAGACAGCCTCTTATCTGTAAACCATGCTGACACCTCAGCTATCAGTTTCTTTCAAGACTCAGATAGTGACTTTTTCAAAGTGTATCACCCTGTAAAGCTGTGCCAGTTTCTCTCCTAGAGTATTCAAAGCACAGGTTCCCACATGCACAGTCTCCTGGGCAGGCAACTACTAAGCTATTCACATAGGAGGAAAGTGCCTATCCATCCAGGAGATCAAATGATAAAGGATGGAGTATACCAATTTACAGAGCTTCAGGGAGCCACCCAGGTTCATTAGATGTTACAGTCTAAAATGGCGCTCCTTGGCTTGCTTGGGTGGCGAGATTCCTTGCTTCAGAAAATGATGGGAGGATCTGAGGTAGGCTGCAGCAGCCTCACTCTCTGTTGTCTTTCTTCCTTTATTGGAGAAGCCTTTGTTGAGATTTTGGCCCCCTTTTATGCTGACACAAGTGAGTTCATGTGTTTGATCGTTCCTTCTTCCCTCCCTCCTTTTCTTTCTTTCTTTCTTCCCCTCTTCCAAAATATTTAAGAGTGCTAGGGATTAGAGATCCAGTGTTAAAATACAAAAAATATTGTCCTTGTGCTCATGGAGCTTGTAGTCTATCAAGAAAGTAAATAATGTTCAACATAGTGGTGAATAACAGACATAATATTTCCAAGGAGAAATGCAAAGCGCAATTCGAAAATAATTCCAGGAAGAAGGAATGTTTAAACTGAGACCTGAGGAAAAGGTTGGGATTAGGAAGAAGTTCATCCAGAGGGAACTGAAAATGTGAAGACATAGTCTATTCCACAATAGCACACATTGACTTGCATGCAGTTATTTATGTGCCTCTGATTTTCACTAAATTGTGAGACCTTAAAGGCAAGGATCAAATCATATCCATCTTTGCATTTCCAGACATCCAAGAACACAGACGGCGCTCTGTGAGGTAGAAATGCATGGCAGTTTATTTTCTCTTATATCCTTTCATTACCTAGGGAAGTTCTGTCTAGCTGATTATGTATCTATCTATCTATCTATTTTTATCCTCACCCGAGGACACTTTTCCATTTTTTGTACAGATAGAGTGGAAGGGAGAGGAAGAGAGAGAGAGAGAGAAACATCGACGTGAAAGGGACACATCGAGTGGCTGCCACCCGCATGACCAACCAGGGCCGGGGACAAACTGCAACCGAGGTACATGCCCTTAGCGGGAACCGAACCCGGGTCTCTCCGGACCGCAGGCTGATGCTCTAACCGCTGAGCCAAACCGGCCAGGGTTCTATCTATCTATTTATCATCTATCTACCTACCTACCTATCATCTATTTAATTACCTGGTCTTGTTGGAGCAAGTGTGTTTATGCCACCAGAGGCTATGGACTGACACCACATCCCTGGCTTGGTATGAGATCTCCATTTCCTTCTGTCTTCCATCTTTAGTTTGTCAGATAATAGGCAATAGCTTATTAACTGATGATAGCCTTTGATAACTTGTATGCACTCATATATAACTAGACATTTGTTAGGAACCAGACTTGGAATGCTAGTCTTCTACTGGCCAGAACTTAATCACATGGCTACATCTAGCTTCAGGGGAGGTAGGGAAACAGAGTCTAGCTGGGCAACCATGAGCCCAGCTAAAACTCTAGTAGTAGGGAGGAAAGGATACAACAGATATAAGAAAGCAGACTGCCATACTGGGTTCCCAAGTTCTTCATCTATCCCCATCCTGAACTGCTTCTGTCTTAGTCATCTGTCAAAACTCAGCTCAACGATCATCTTTGAGAACTCTGCCACTTGAACAGAACTAATCTCTCCCCCCTCTCTATTCTCCTGTTCCACAATAGCACACATGACCTATAGCCAGTTATTTATGTGCCTGTGACTTTCACTAAATTATGAAATCCTTAAAGGCAAGGATCAGCTCACACCCATCTTTGCATTTCCAGACCTCTGGGGACACAGGCTGTGCTCTATGCATGTGTGTTTAGCCCATAAAGCTCCAGGAATAATGGAACAATAGCTCATTCCAAATTGACAGGTATACTTTAGACATCTTTTATTTTTGAAGTGTTTTTGTTCATTTAATACGTCTGAGAAGAATGCATATACAAAGAATTGAGACATGAGAAAGTATTGGTTCAACACTAATGAATTTACAAGAATGAGGACTTGGGATAAGAGAGTTTGAGATGGTGGCTGGCAGGACCGGAGGGAGGGTGAGTGTGTGAGAGAGTAAGCGAGTGTGTGAGAGAGTGTGAGTGGACGTGAAGGTGGATGACCAAACCCGAGTAGTGCAGAGCCACAGAGCAGAAAGTTCCTGTGCTGTGGACAGGAGCAGGCAGCTACCTGGTTAAGCAGCCCTTCAGTGTGCTTCTCTCTGCACCGTGGGGAGGTCTCACCATTTGGGAAGATCCCGGGTCTTCCCTGGGAGGAGGCAGTGGGAGCGGCCCAGCAACCTGAGCCCACCAGTGCACCTGGCACCTTCGGACCAGTGGACACTCTGTGTCGACACAGACCAGTGCACAGTAGTGGAGCTCCCAAGGTGCTGGTCACAGAAGCTGCTGACAGCCCAGAGCCCAGCACCATCCCCCGTAGTAGGAGCCCAATCAGAGTCAAGATATACCCCCAGCAAGAGAGGCTGGGGAGCAGACTTCCATCCCCAGGTAACAGAAGCACAGACCAGCAGCTGAGACCCATCCCCCAAAACTACAACAAAAGCTGAGCAAGAGTTGAGCCCCAAGGGGCAGCAGCACTCCCCAGCCACCTGCAGTGGAACCTGGGGCTCCACAGAGGCCTCTGCAGTCCAGTAGCCCACAAGAGCAGTGGGAAGCTAGAGCCCTAGAGAGACTGGTGCAATCTAGCGGCCCACCCACAGGACCTGCAGGGTGCAGGGGCACCAGAGAGGCCTGTGTGACCCAGCAGGGACTGCATGATCTAGTTACTCACAGGGCCTGTGGGGTGCTGAAGAACCAGAGAGGCCTGCATGACCCAGCAGGGACTATGCCATCCAGTTACCTGTGGGACTTGTGGGGTGCTGAAACACCAGAGAGGCCTGTGAGACCCATCAGGGACTGTGCAATCTAGTTACCCACAGGGACTGTGGGGTGCTGAAGCACCAGAGAGGCCTGTGCGACCCAGCAGCCCATAACATAG